GGGGGGGGGGGGGGCGTTATGCCTGCAGGTACAGGCTCTCTTACCTCCACATCCCAGGGCCGGGCAGTATTGACACAGGGCAGCAGTAAAAGGTCTTCGGCAGCTTTCTGTGCCATCAGGTCCCAACGTGTGTCTTTGCCCAGGATCCCTGTGGGGTCTGCAGGATCCAGGATAATGGGGCTGCAAACAGAGGGGGCAGGTGATGCCATCAGTCCCAGGCACTGCCATGGGGCAGGTGGCACCAGTCCCACCAGGCACAGTCCTCACCAGCGACTGTGCATCATCAGGTTTTTGATGTGGGCGCCAATCTGGACGTGCTGGAGTGAGTAGTACATCTCCCAGTAGATGCAGATCTCCCGGTGCCGGCACAGCAGCTCCAGCACTGTTCGGAAACCCTCAGCCATGACGAAGGAGTTGCAGGAGCCTGTGCCCTCCTCCCAGGCGTAGATGGTCAGCAGCTCCAGGGCATACTTGGGGGGCAAGTCTGCACCGCAGTACCGTGGCTTCAGCAGCTAGGGAGAAGATGGGGATGGGGGTGAGAGCCAAGTGGGGTGGGTCCCCGGTGGGTGCCAGGGAAGCTGGGCAGCTCCTCACCTCCTTGTACCAGTGCTTAACCAGGCGCAGGAGGTTCTTCAGCTTGACAGGGTAACGCTTCACAAATTTCTTCTGCAGCTCAGTGAAGCAGGGGGAGAACTCCCCAGGCTCACCTCCGGCATTCAGGAGCCCCACGTACACCTCCATGTCTGGCCGGGGATCCCGGCCCACCTGACCTGCAGGGCGAGAAGGAGGGTGAGAGCTGCCTCTGCCACTGCCCAGCCCCACACCAGCCCGCACCCCTTACCCAAGGCGTCGTAGGCGGGCAGGATGTCCACCTTGATGGTCTCTGGGCTTGTCCTGGAGCCAAGAGTGAGGCTGACAGAGCGCGGTGTATTGCTGGGACCTCTGTACTGGGGCTTGCTGATGGTCACTGTGAACGTCAGGGTCTCTCTGCAGACATGAAGCCTCCTCTTGATCAAATCCAGGATATAATTTCTCTCCTGTTTCTGCTGCTTGTAGCTGGAGAAGTGGCTGAGGAAGAGCACCACGTCGGCATCGGAGTTGTTCTGCAGGGCTGTGCCCTTGCCCGCTGAGCCACCCTGCAAAGAGATACCCAGCCAGCTCAGTATTGCTGCCCCTGGGCACACGGATCACCTGCCACAGCTCCTGGAGCTGCCAGGGGAAACTGAGGCAGGGCAGGAGCTGGAGCAACAGGACAGAGGGAAGGGTGGCAGCAGGGGTGCTGGCTGGTCCCCAAGCTGGGCAGCGCTCACCTTGACGGTCTTGTGGACACGGATGTTGGTCTCGAAGCAGTCCTCCTTGAGGAAGTCACAGATCTGCTTCACCGTCTGCTTCACCTGGCTGCGGAAAGCTGGGCTGGGCTCCAGGGTCTTTGCGATCCAGCGGTCCAGCTCGTTGGCAGACACCATCCTCAGCCCATTTATGGATGTCACTTGCCCCACGTTCATCCTGCAAGGTGTGGTCACTCCCTCTACCCTCTCCTGACTTGCTGCTTACCCTCCGCTTGGTCTTGTCTACAATTGTCTCTCTGCCTGCTCCTGCCTGCAGCAGCTTTTAAACCTTCCCGGGCCACCGCCCCGATGGCGTCACCACCGGGAAGTTAAGGTGGCACCATTCCCCCGGGGCTTTGTCTCTCCCCAGCCCTCGCCCCGGCTCCTCAGGAGACTGCTGCCAACGGGGTACCCTGGCTGTCCCCGGTGTCACCGCCGCGGGGGCTGGGAGGGTGCAGGAGGGGCTGCATGGCACCGTCATCCCCCCAGCATCCAGCTGAGGGGCAGCAGTGACAGTGGTGGTGGCAGTGCAGGCAGCTGCCTGCAGGCTGGGTGCAGGGTGCTGCAGGACCTCGTAGCCCGGGGTATCTGCGGTGGCACAGGGTCTCCCCTGGGTGCCCAGCTGGCAGGAGGCGGTGTCCCACCACGGGACCCTGCGCCAGGCCCGGGAGCTGGGGGTGTCCTGCCTGCACCAGCGCCTGCCTGTGCCCACGGCAGGACCCCAATTGTTCGGGCTGGGGTACAGTCAGCGCTGGGACATGGGTGGTGCTAGTGGCACAGTGTCACCCGCCAGCGATGGGACGTGGCCGGTGCCAGTGTCACCAGGGGCCCAGTGTCACCCCCAGCGATGGGACGTGGCCGGTGCCAGTGCCACCAGGGACCCTGGTGTCAGCCCAGGCAGTGGGACAGGGCTGATGCCCGCATCACAGGCGGTCCTGCTGCCCCCCCCCGGCAGCCGCAGGCGGTACGGGCAGGACGCTGAAGCCCGCGCTGCCTTAAGCCCCGGGTGCAGCAGAGCTGGGAAACGAGAGTTTCTGTTTCTGCTCCAGTTTCGTTTTCGGTCTCCGCCGGCTGGAAACGAAAGTGCACAGAGGGTCTGCCCTCCCCGGTGCCCCCCATCCCCCACGCGGGGCCGTGGGTGCCATGGGCCGCCCGGGGGACGCGGGGTGGTTGCCCACTGGCAGCCCCACTCGCCTGCGCTGGGTCATCCCGGGAAACCGGGGAGCGCCGGTAACTGACACTCGGGCCTGGAAACTCAGCCAGGGACAGGAGGGTGGGCTGGGGGCAGGGGCTGCAGGCAGGCAGGGGCAGTGGGCAGGAGCAGGGACAGGCAAGAACAAGGAGAGGAAGGGACAGGGAGTAGGGGCAGGAGCAGGACGGTGCACAGGTCAGGACATGGGCAAGGGGCAGGCAGGGGGCAGGGAGAGGAGGCAGGAAGGGCCAGGATGGGGAGAGGAACGGGGCAGCGGCAGGGGCAGGGACATGTGTGAGGATGGGGTTGGGCGTGCAGTGCAGGAAGGGCCAGGGACGGGGATAAGGGTACGGGCAGGGACAGGGGGAGAGGTGGGCACAGGGACAGGGGCTGGCACAGGGAAAGCAGCACGACAAGGACAGGGACAGGGACAGGGGCAAGGACAGAAGCAGAGATACAGGCAGGAGCAGCAACATGGCCAGGGCAGGAGCAGGGGTGGATGTCCCCTTAGTGTCGGGTGACAACCCGGCAGGGACCGGTGCTGGAATACAGGCAGGAGCAGGGACATCAGCTAGGATGTGGGCAGGGGCAGAAAATGTGCTGGGTTTGTGTTGTGGGGTTTTAGTAGCAGGGGAGGGGGCTACAGCAGTGGCCCCTGTGAGAATCTTCTTGAAGTTCCCCCAGCTCAAAGCTGGACCCACCTCTGGCCAAGGCCGAGTCAATTAGTGATGGTGGCTGTGCCTCTGGGATAATGTATTTAAGAGGGGAAACCTGAGAGTGGGGGAGACTTTGAGGACAAGTTATGAAGTGAACACCGAGGTCAGTGAAAGGAAAGAGGAGGAAGGGGGGGAGGTGCCCCAGAGCAGAGACCCCCCCTGTATCCCATGGGGAGAGGGCAGGGCTGCCCCTCTGCCACCCATGGCAGTCACTGGAGGAGCAGAAGTTCACCTGCAGCCTGTGGAGGACTCCCGGGGCTCTGTGGGAAGAAGCCCCTGCTGTTGTAGTTCGGTGCTGGGAGGTGCAACATGGGGAGCTGACCTATGCCAGAGAATCTCAAGAAGAATGCATCCCATGGGGAGGACTGGGGGCTGTCTCCTGTGAGAGGGACACCCTGTGGGGCAGGGGGAAGGACTTGGAAGAGTGCTTCCCCCCACCTTGGAGGTGGCGGACTGACTGCACCCCCCCATCCCCTGTCCCTGTGCTGCAGGGGAAGGAGGTACAGACACCAGAAACAAACTGAGCCTGGGAATAAGGGAGAGGTGGGGGGAGGTGCTTTTTAAGATATGATAACACTTCTCACCACACTCTGTTAAGTGTTGGGTTTGTTAGTGTTTGAATTAAAGTGACGTCCTTTTTCTTCCCCTATTGAGCCTGTCTTTTGCCTGTGACCATTAATGCGTGAGCCACCCTCTCTGTCCTTATCTCCATTCCTGAGCCTTTTGATGCATTTTCTCCTTCCCAGCACTGCGGGGGAAGGGGTGAGTGAATGGCTCCTTAGTGCTCAGTTGCCCTCTGAGCTCAAAGCAGCAACATGGCCAAAGCAAGAGCAGGGATGGATGTCCCCTCAGTGTCAGATGACAACGTGGCAGGGACTGGAACAGGAATAGAGGCAAGAGCAGAGATATCAGCTGGGATGGGGGCAGGGGCAGAAATTGGGACAGGAGCAGGTATTTGGGCAGGGATGGGGCAGGGATACAGGCGTGGGCAGGGACAAGGACAGAAGCAGGAGCAGGAGTGGGGATATGGGCAGGTATGCAGACAGGGCAGAGACAGGTGGAGGGACAGGGGCAGGGATACAGACAGGGACAGGAGAAGGGACAGAGATGTGGGCAAGGAGAGGGGAAAGGACAGGACAGGACCAGCAGCAGGGACAGGGGTACAGGCAGGGGCAGGGCTGTGGGCAGGCCTGAAGATCGAGGCCAGGACACCAAGGTGAGAATTACGAGAGTTATTCTTTATTCACACCCATTGAGTGTCTCAGCCAAATCAGGACACCCCAAATGTGGTTATACCCGTGGCTCTCACACCCTTCGAGCATCAGGGAACAGCACCATTTAACCAGTCCCTACTCACCCCCTCCACCTGCTTTCCAAAGCCACTGAAATTCTATGGCATCACCATCTCCAGGCGTCCCTGGAGCCCGTCTTGCTACAGCTACTTATTGTGAGGCCAGATAACTCGAGGGTCTCAGAGAGGCCTTGGAGTAACTGGGGTGCTGGCCTTATCTTAGGAGTCCCACTCTCTGTGGTGGGGCAGGCCTCCTCCTTTCAACAAGCCATGCCAACTGTACCATGACTATGCAGTATAGAATGGCAACTATAGATATAGGCATCTTCAGAAAGTTTGTACAAGGTCATGCTATCCAGACTGACTGGTACAATAGCTAGGGAGTGAGATTTCCCTAACGAGGTGCAGGCAGGGCAGAAGGAGGGATATGGGCAGGGCCGGTGATGGCCCAGGAGGAGAAACAGTGACAGCACAGGGGCAGGGATTTGGGCAGGGGAAGGGGTACTGATGCCTGCAAGGAGCTGGTGCTCATTGCTGTAAGGGGCCTCGGACCAGAACGCACCCAAGGACACAGTTTTTGCAACTGCGATGGGGACATCCCGGAAAGGGCAAAAAACCCCAGCAGACACCTGCGCGAGCCAAAGATAGGAAAGCTGAGAAACTTCACAGACAGAGCAATGAGCCAAGACAAGACCTTGTATGAAAAGACTGGGAGTTCACGGAAAGGACACTACGAGACGCCTCTTCAACAGCCTCTAGGGACCAGCCCAGAGCACCGAACCCCCCGCGGGAGCCGCTCAGAGACCCTTCCCCGAATTTTAGCACGCTTGCACAATGTGTTAACATACGGATTAGATTCTCTGCACACAGGCGTGTGCTTCTGGGAAATTACAGGAATATTCATTCCTTTTATTGTCTCTAGTAAGCGTGCCTGTGTCTTGCGGCACCCACGTTAGGTGGGACGATCCCCCGCGCACCCGGCGCTGCAATAGAGAATGCCCGCCTCGCAAACTTCAAACCGAGCCTTAGGGGGCTCTTTGGAGACCGGATTTACCGCAACAAAAGCGCCAGGGCCCGCCCTCCGACCCCATCCCGACGGTCACCCCCGTCAAACCCCGAGCCCGGGGACACCCCCCCCAGTGCCAGCGCTCCCCAACACCCCACCCAGCCCCAGAGGCCACGGCCCCCGCTCAGCGCCATCCCAGACGCTCAGGCGGTGCCGACCCGCCGCCAGCAGCGCCCCAAGGCTTCCCCCTCCCGGCGGCACCAAACCCTCGGGCCGCAGCGGACCCCGGCCCCTCACCAGGCCCCCGGC